GAAATTACATTTGTATAACTCCTTGAAAGGGCTTGGATATTCATGTTACTTTAAAAGACAAATTTGCATATAAAGGCACCATTTTTGACTATCTATTAATAATTGGCCTAAATAACAACCAATATGTTAATAGATAGTCAAAAATGGTGCCTTTATATGCAAATTTGCCTTTTAAAGTAACATGAATATCCAAGCCCTTTCAAGGAGTTATACAAATGTAATTTCTTTTTTTTTTTTCTTTATGCAGGGTGGTTGGTGCAGTTATAATAATTATAGGGCTCTATTTTGTTATTTGGGGCAAAAACAAAGAAAAAGAAACCCCAAGATTGGAGGTTGAGGAGGTTGAGGTTGAACAAATATGACTGAATAGTGGATGAAACCCCAAGATTGGAGGTTGAGGATGTTGAGGTTGTACAAATATTCATAACTGAATAGTGGCACGAAGTCACATCCTATCTGCTTTATAATTTGTTAGTGCTAAATATGTGGGAACATCTATGGAATTTATTGTTACAATGCTGATTTGGTGTATTTATATTGACAAATAGATCTTACAGTATAGACAACTGGAAGAAGCTTGGTGTCCCACTTTATGGCCCAAGTCGCCGGATTCCGATTCTCCGCGACAAGGGCCACGGCCGCACCCTCCACAGTTGCTAGTAAACAAACCCATACAGTCATAGATAGATATGTCCGTAAAGTGACTGCCTGCACGAAAATTATAAAAATAAATAAATAAATTAGTTGACCCTTAAACTAATTTAATTTAACTGGTTGTAAGTACACCACAAAAAAATAATAAAATTTCAATGAAAATATATTTCTATTTAATTCCAACGACAATGTCAATAAATATTCCAGTGATACAACAAAAAATTGTTAAGATGAGTTTTTTATTGGAATTTTCATTGAGTTTTATTTATTGACCCTCTTTGTTTGAATCTGAAAGCAATTGACGACGACAATACAAAAAGAAAAATGGATGTTGGAATTTTTTTCTTTCGTCCTCATCCCAGCAGTTGCATTTTATTTCTCAAATGGGATTGAACAGCGATAAAATTGCATTTCTCATATCGTCTACGAAGTCTTCCTTTTCTTGCTCTTTCTAGGTAACCAGTCTTGACTTCACTTCGCTTCGTTTTCAGGGAGATATATCCTATTGCCCTGGCACTTCAGTATGCCGTTCGCCGCCAAAATGTCAATTTTAAAAAGCTTTTTTTGAACAAAGAAATTAGTTGTCTTTTACATGTCAAAAAGTTATTCTTTTACCAAACACTTTGTATAGTCAATTAACTCAATCTGCTAGTCCTTAAGATTGTCTTTATAAACATCATAAACTACTTTATACTTAATTTGATTACCTTATAAGCTTCAAATATGAAATTAAGATTGGTTTGCATATGACAAGTTTTTTTTTTTGTTTAAAAAAAAAAAAAAACCAAAGCTTATCTCATAAGCTTCATTTGTAGCATTTTTATTTCAGCTGACTTATCGATTAATTTTACCAATATCAGTTATATTTTCAGTTATAAGCTACAAGTTCGAAATATTTGTTTTTCAAATAAAAACGTTGAAATTTTTATCTCATCAATCACCAAATTTATCAGTTACGTTTGCGAAACCCAGCTTGGCAAATAAAACATAAAAGAAATTTCATTTGTAATCTATTTATCTATTTATTTGTTATTGGGTTGAATAATTGTTTTTTATTTATTATTTTTTTTTTAAGTTACCTGCAAGATAATGAAACAGGCCCAACTCAGACATCCGACGATGATCATGACTGCACCCTTGATCGAGTCTTGGAGAGTCACTTGGGTTTGATGGTGTTGATCTTGGGCCGGGCCTTGTTTGGTCCATGGAAGGCCCAAATTTGGGCCAGTTACTAATGTCATGATCATGGCCCCGGCCACCGTGGCAAGTGTCCCAATTATCTTGGCCCAACTGCGTATGCTCGTTATCTTTACTTTCTCAAGCCTGTTAATTTCACAAATTAATTAAAAATAAAACTTCAAATCTTTCAATCCCATAAAACGAGCCTCATGATACTCAGCCTCTAGTCTCTATCGAGTCGAGCTAAGTCGAGCTCTGTTAGTTAACAAAAGAAACCGATAAATGTGCTCAAGTTCCCTTTGTTTATTAATATTAATTGGTAAAGCTATAAAAATTAGTTAAAATTTTTTTATTATATATCTAGCCCTAATGAGGGAAGCCAGCTTTTTAACTAAACAGGCTTCAAAAAAACTGGAGCCCGAGCCTTAATAAATAGAACTCATGAGTTGTTTGTTTTGTTTAAGATGACAATATCATACAAATAAAGAATTTAACAGAAATACACAATACAGTTAATAAAAAGTAAAAAAAATAAGTGATTCATGTATAATATATATATAACTACTTTTTCTATAAAATATTAAAAGTAATGAAATCTAACAGAACTACTAACAAAAAAAAAGTTGAATATTATGGAGGAATATTTATTGATTTTGCAGGTTGTTAACAATCGTGTTTAGTTATAAAGTGAAAAAAAAAGAATAACTGAAAACGCACCTGAAGCATAACGCTATTACGAAAGTTATGGCAGGAAGCACGTTGGACATGGCCGCCGCAAATATAATAAAAGGCGAACAGAGATAAGGATCACGAAACAGAAAAATATAATAAAAGGCCAACAGAGATAAGGAAGGAGCACGAAACAGAAAAGAGATAAAGAAATATAGACGGATATTTATTTATATAGCCTAGGAGAAGAGTCTGTTGAAACAGAAAGAAAATCAAAGGGAAGCGCTAAGGTTGAAACAGAAAGAAAATCAAAGGAAAGCGCAGAGAGAGAGAGAGAGCACGACTGTTTACGGCTTTTTGTAGGAAGGAATATTTAAAGGAAATCCTTCCTTGCAATATGCGTTTAATTACTTCTTGCGCCAATCTGGGACTAAGAAAAGAAAGCTACGATAGTCTCACGCAGCAGGTTAAATACTAGTAAGTAGTGCAGATAATCAGTTCAGTAATAGTATTTTTAATTCGGGCAACAGATAGATATTTATTGAGAGAGTCCGAGTCCAATTTAAAGGACAACCAACATTAATTAAAAAGCACTCTAAATTATTATATTGTTTTCATTTGTTAGGACTCTTTTTTGTTTTAATTAAAAGTTTATAAATCACATTAGTTTGTTAAGTTGTTAAAGCATGCATATAGTATTTAAAACTGATTTTAAAAACGGAGCCTTCGGTGTTTGGATCAGTTGAAAATTTCTAACTGATTTTAATACAAACTATCCCTAAATTTGGGACGAGTCTGTTGAGAGTCTACATAATTCCAAAATTTATCATTTTAACATATAGTATATTGTTCCCCTTTGATTAAAAACTCATGACATCTTCGGCTGGTTGGCCGGGAAGTACGGGGCCAACGGACAAATTGGGGCTGCACTGTCGTCTCTGGTACTTGCATACGGCGCACGCAGGGGTTGAGCCGCCCTTGACCGTCATGCTTGATGATCAGTTTGTTTTTATATGCATTGTCTGTGGGTGGTTTTATTTGATGATTTAAATATGCACGTATGTATGAGTTTTTGATAAGAGGATAATGAAACATGATTAAAAATAATTTAAATTTTAAAGGAGGACGAATAATGTAATTAAAGAGTTAGAAAAAAAGAGAGTTTGTTGTGGGTTTGTTAGGATTACTGAACAGAAGATGGAGTAAAAGAATTTTAGTCCCCAATGTGTAGGGGAGTTTGTTTTACTTTGGGTTTTAAACGAGAGCCGCTCGTTAACTACACGTGTCACTCAATTGCCATCGATCTCTTATCGAGATAAGTTGACTATAAAAGTCAACGGGGAAATAGGTTAAATGGGTGAAAATGTTAACTTACTGCAATCTTTCACCGTGAAACTTTCATTCAATCAACGATTTTACTGTAATGGTCTCGTTTTGTTATATATAGTTTTACTAGTGTGTATCCCGTGCGATGCACGGACTGTATAAATTTGAAGAATATATGACATGCATTAAGATCGAAATAATTATAACACATAGGAACAATACTATTGAATTATAAAATTTTCGTCACGAAAAATCATATATTATTAAAAACCTCCATGTACACAATATTATGAACTTGATTATTGGAAACTCGTTTGATTATTAGTATTATTAGTACATCTTGACTGTTAATAAAGATGTTTGAGGAATAATACTTAATTCAGGTTCATCATCACTTGTGAGATTAATTAAGACTGTATATCCTCCAACACTCGCTTTTGCAAAAATGTTGGTGTTATGTTGAGCAGTCAAATTTGATATCAGACCATAGGATGATTTGTTGGAATAGAGATTTTTCGACGACTTACGTGACTCTATAGTTCCAAAAACTACAATAAAAAAAATACAACAGAGTGATGCACAAATTTGATAATCAATTAAAGTATAGGCAAAATGTATTGTGTAAAGTAAATAATAAATTATTTACCATTTGTGACATCAGCTAATGGCATCCTTTGTGGAGTATGCAACGTATCATGAGTATTTTGACATTTATTTGGTGCACCATACATAACTGTAGAATAATGATACATTCTTTTTTTCTTAAAAAAACATTCAAATAACATTTACGTAAATTTATAAAAGTTGAAACAAAAAAAAAAAATATTTATCAGAAATTTATATAATATACAATTGTGCATATGACTTAAAAGATACTCCTATAAAACATTTTTTTTTCTGTTAAACACATATAATATATAAAGTATTTATATTCATGTGATATTAATTAATTTTCTCTGTATATATGGTATGTTTATTTATTTCATGAAATAAAAATATATATATGTTAAAGTATTGACAAAAGTAAAATTTATAAATTAGATAACATAATCAAAAATTTTATGGAACCATTAAATGGTTTTCGTATGGAGCCATCAATCACTTAATGTTTTGACACCTGTCCAAAGTGCATTTAATGTAGGACACGTGTCAATACACTATTTGTAAATAACTGTGAATGACTCCAAAAATCGAGCCATCCGATGGCTCTATAGCAAAACTGATAACATAATATATGTGTTCAATATTAATGTTATATATCTATCATTTCGAAAAAAAATAATTAATGATATATTATAAGTAATATAATTGGGTTGATTTATGAAACAATTAAATATATTTATATTTATATTGGCCAAAGTAATACAATAAACTTATAATTAAAGTCGGCCCATTACCATTGGTGTAAAGTCGGGCTTATTAATTTTTCTTTTTATTTCTTCCGTCCGAACTGGGCCTAAAGCAAACTAAATCCCGATCTGACAGTTAATATTAGTCAAACAAAAACTAACGGTCTGAAATGAATAAAACTTGATATAAAAGAATTAAAAAACCCCGATATTTTAGGGCTAGTCATTTGTTCTGTTAGCTTCTTCTCACTTCTCTCTCCCACTGCTTCATCTTTCTCAACCCTTAAACCGACCTTCGTTTCATTTTTTTTTTTTTGTTATAGTTTTGAACGTACTCAGCTCATGATAATCGATTTTTCTGAGAATCTATGTCGAATACGACCTGATGCATATTTTTCTGAGAATCTCAGTCGAATATGACCTGATTAATTTGTATGACACACGGGATTCGAAACCAAATTGAACGATCTGAGGTCTTTCATTTTTATTTTTTTATTCAGGATTATTGTATAAAAATATTATGAATCGGCGGTCGTTTTTCCTTTAGAGTATATAGATCTACTGGAATCTGACTCGTTGTTCAGAGATAATTGAATCGACAGTCGGATTTTCAAAAGTAATAAAAAAATATTATACATGGACATACAATTAATGGATTTTCTTCAATTTATGTATACTTTTTCATGTTTTAGATAATGTTTAATTTGAAGAAATAAATCCCTTCATATAAGGGATATTGTTAATTGCAGTTATCGAAAAATAAATCAGCTCCTTGATTTCAAATTTTGCCAAAATGATTTAATGGAATTGCTCTGCATTTTTTAGGAATGCTTGACAAATTAATTACTGGACAATAAATTTAGTTGCTATTTAATTTGCAATTAGCTAAACGTGAAAAAATTTTAGTTGACCCACATTTTTGGGACTGCATTTAATAGGTAAACGTGAAAAAAAAGAACTTACTATTAATGGAAAACAATTAATGAAGAAACAGGTATGACCAAAATTTAGTTGCTATTTTTAAAAAATGGTAAATCTGTTTATATATATATATAGATTTTATAGACTTTGTTATGTGTACGTATATAAGATTTGTAAGCATAACATATACTTATTCATCAATATCGTATCGCTCAAAAGTCAAAACAGACAAATTAGAAGCTTCAGGTGGATGGTATTTAATATTTATCGTAAAATAGTTATATTTTACTTTCCATTATATATATATATATAATAATGGAAGATGCTACGGTTCGTTACGAACTATTCTGTTGGAGTTTTTAACGGTTAAACTGTCTATGACGGTTAAATAATGATCTAACAGTTAGAAACCCTTACAGAATGGTTCCGTAACGGAACCTTAATATCTCTCATAATAAGAATAAGATTAATTCACTTCTACAATATATTTTCCGTCAAACATTAAGTATTTCCTAAGTGGTAATAATTTAATTTATTTTAGATAAAAAAAAGCCCTAATTACATTCGTTATATAAGTTTTTTTTTTTTTTAAATAAAAGCACTCCGGGTTGGGTGAGGGGTTTGGCTGTACCCCCAACTTGTGAATAAAATGCCCCAGAGCGGGCTAATAAGTCAAGGTTCTACATCAATATCACGAATACATAAAGAATCGACAGAACTATCGACAAAATAGAAAAAGCACAAGAAACGAGGAATGTCTAAGATGGATCCAAAATCAAGAACTCATGAAGAGGCTGCCTGGCCATGGGGGGGCCAGGTCTAAAGTCCAAAACAACAAGTCTAGGCATTGTCAGGTGGTGTCGGCCGTCCGAATCGGAAGAATGGATACTCCAGCTGATCCATCCGGATGAGGGTCCGAAGCCGTAAGGGGAAGTCCTCAGGGTGGAGGGTGCGTCTCTGGGTATAGATGCCCCGGTGGGGCAGTTCCCCTCTCGGAATATGTGCGAGACCTGGTAGTGGATCGAGCGGAGAATGTCTCTGATGCGCATAAGTGGATGTTGAATCTGCTATGAGCCCTGGTGGCCAGATATAAAAAATGTGATGACAGTTGCAACATCTATCTCTATCCATATATGGGAGGAGATCGAGGCAGCAATCTGTAGACCAATCTGGAGCGTCTGAATCTCTGCGTCATAGCTCGAGGAAGCCTGAAGTGGGCCATGGAAGGTTGAGATGAGTGCCCCTCCATGGTCCCTAATCAGGCCCCCTCCTCCAGCAACTCCGGTGTGTCTGTCGAAAGCGTCATCAGTGTTTAGCTTAACCCAAGGGGGCTTGGGTTTCAGCAACAATCCTGGGCCGCGGATGCTGGACATGCGGAGGGGGTGATGGCCTCAAGCGATGGGGCGGCGTACAACCTGTCCAGTCTCTCGTCGTCAGTCTGCCCAGGCGGTGAGGAGGGAGAAGTTTCTGTCAATCTGCAAAATAATGTGAGAGCAAGAAAA